TATATCAAGTATACACATTTACAAATATAATAAACTTAAGTATATAAATTTATCCATACAAAACTAAACTAGATTTACCTCGTGTTCACCTAAACCGTCGTTTAAACAGCTGTTTAGCCCGTTTAATACAGTTTATCTCCGTTCCGTTTATATCGTTTAGACCGCTTTTTCCCGTTTTTTGACTGTTTTTTTTTTGTTTACCCCCTAAATAAAATAGTTTACCACCGTTTACCATTTAGTGGCCATTTACGTAGCTATATAGTTGTTGGTGAAAACCTTCTTCAGCTGTTCCCAAGATCTAATGGGTGTTTACCACCATTTACCGTTTAGTGGGCATTGATGGCGAGCACCCGGCGGGCGGTGAGCTTCCGATCTCGTCTGCTCTCGGCGGTAGCGCCCCGAAGATAGTGACGACCACTTTGTCATGATCCTAGAAGGCGTTGTTATTATCCCCAGGTGGTCGGCGACCTCTGGCCCCGTCATCATTGTCGTCGTCCAGCTCTCGAGGTGCTTAGTGTCTAGTGGTAGACAAACGCCTCCGTAAGTGCGTTATTTCGGGCGGTTCTGCCATATAAGGCATGTAGGAGTGGTAGCAGTTCAATTGCTCGTAACCCTGAGCTCACCTTGACTCCATCCATCCGGTGTTCGCGCTATCTTTGCTAGGATGCTCGACGATGGTGTGATGACGCGTCGGTGCCGCGCTCGGAGCATCGCCGCGCAGTTTGGGCGCGAGTGGCTAGATCACCTTGGCACTCCCCGGTTTCAACCGTCACCGCAACACGGTCCTCAGTGAGATCCTGATGCTTCCCCATCGTCTCTACCCCTCCGTTAGCGCTCTAGGTCATCGAAATGGCCGCACTGCCACCGTGGATAACCGCTCACTGCTGCAGCTCGCGTTAGTACATCCCCAAGCCCCGAACCGCCACCCGCCGTGTGCGTTTAGCCATAGATGGTGGTCGACCCCTTACTCCCTTCTTAGCGAGCCTAGGTTGCTCGGCGTAGCTGCCCTATGCCATCGGCCACCGCGTTGGTGAGCACGGGGATAATAGGGACATGGCCGTGGTGAGGACGAAAACAATCGAGGGCTTGATTGCAAAGCCACTGTCGATAGGAACAGTACACATGGTAGTTGTACTATTACCTCGAAGCTCGGGGGCTCCTCTACAAAACCATCGTCGCGCGTGGGCTCCTCGGCCTTGGGCCACGTTGGGCCGTTATGACGCGCGCGTGGCCATGGCCGCGCTAGGCTACTGGGTCGAATCGATGGCCACCGGCCCTTTTCCTTTTCTAAAGCGTTTCATAATTTTGGTTTTAAGGTAAACTTGTAAATTCAATATAAAATTGTGTAGTTAATCAAAAAATATGAAACCAATTTTGTTCAGTTCCTAAAATCATGATCTATCTGCTAGTATATTTTGTTCACATAGTTTTATAATATTTTCAGGAGTTATCTAATTAAATTAAGATGCTTAATATTATAAGATAGAAACTTGTAGGAATTTTTGTGATAAATTGGTAATAGTGTTGGCTCTGAAACTTTTACAGTAAATTCCTAACATTATTAGGTGCTCACTGTAATTTTTGTAGCTTCATAATAATTAGTTTGCTAAGGTTGCTAAATGAGCCCTAGTTCGAAAATATATATTTAATCAATAAAATGCCGAAACACCTTGGAATTTTAAAACTAGAACATTTTGCCGGAGACAAAGCCTTACTTGATGACGTGGATACGTAGCCTAGTACGTTAGTCTTTAGCTTGAGAGGCGTAATCATATTTTTAAGAGTTGTGGCTACTGTTGATTAATTATGTCTCTGCGTTGCATCCACGTACATCATAATAGGAACAATGATGGATCATGTGAGTTGACCGGAGTAGCGAAAAAGATGGTGCCTTGATGATCATGTTGCCATGATGGAATGCTAACTTTTGGTTATATCTTACCCAAACAAACCCCGATACATAACCTCTATTATTCTACACTTTATTTTATTCTTGTGCATTAAGTTTTAAGAAGTTGAATGAAACCACTTGCATATATATATATATCCTTATCCTATGAGTCCTACTAGTATGTCGGGATCGTGTAGATTGCTCTGCTATATGACCCGGTAGAGATCGAGTGACTACCTGTCACTCGCGAGAGATAGGAAATATATTATTGTTGTTATTATATTACTATCACATGGAATATATATGAATGATAATTGGAGACCGGGCGGAAATGTACTTTGGATCTAAACTTGGTTAGGCATTCGAGCGAGGCTCGGATTGCATTTGTTCCGCCTATGTCGATTGAGGACCGTCCGTTGCTGTGGATGGTAGTCAGGTCACAGACTTATTATCCTGAGCACATACTTGCTTATGGGAGCGAAAACCCTCGTTACGCTCTTGTCGTGGGTTCCGGCTCTTTTTGGACCGACTGATTGTAGACGGAGAAAGGTGGATGTCTAAGCACCATATTGAGACCGGGTTTCAAGTGTGGAGGCTTAGAGTCCAAGTTTTGATGTGGACCTAGACCCCTTGACAGGAGTGGAATGGGTTGGTCTTGTTTGTGTCTGGGGTACAAACGGGACGTGTGTTTCGGAGTACCCAGCTGGGATACATTGATTCGTGAATCGTCGTTTTTGTGAGACGGTACGACTTAGCTATGGTCTAACACCGTAGTAAGAACTAGAACTTGAAATGTGATAAAATGGTTCTGATTGCTCACCACATGTTTGAAAGTAGCATAGGAGCTTATATAGGCCCCGTTCGTTTCGCTGAAAAAACAAGCCAAAACACTGTTTCGGTTGATTTATTGTGAGAGAAAAATACTGTTCCGGCTGAAAAAAAAGCTGAAAAGTACGGATTATAAGAGAAGTGAACAGGGCCATAAAATAGATAGTTAATGAACTAATGATGATTGCTAATAAAATTTAATATAAGGACACACGTTTAGTAATGCTTCCACAGATGTAATAACCCACAAGCCAAATAAGACTTGCATATCCTTGGAGTCTTTTATTTTCCTCCTATCGGGTAAGTCTTGCTGAGTACAATCGAGTATTAAGAGTTTATTCCCCCTGTTGTAGGTGATCGGAGGATACTTAGAGCTGACTCTTGTGTGTGGAAACCTCCTGATGGGCTCATAGGGGATTTCTTCACGCTACGACCGTAGTGTTTATTTACAGCCCCCACTAAAGATTTTTATAAGAAAAAATGTAAAATCTACTAGCATCTCTTGTATATAAATGTCTACTATGTTAATACTCCACCATGCCATTAAATTAATCTTTATTTCTTCTATAACTCTGATAACATTATTATATTATGCCGTTATAATAAATTGAAGTAATATTCTGCTACTGTAATAAAGTGATGTAAGAAATGACTTAAGAATGTTGTAAGTTTTATTCTCTCATTTATGATTCTGATGGAAAAATATGGATTTTCGAGTTCTCCTTTGAGGTGTGCTCGACGAAACAGCTCGATTTAGTGCACTTTCTTGGGTACTTAGTGTCTAATACAAGATAAATACTCTTGGGAGGGCATTAGATTAGACGGTTCTGTCACAGATGCTAAAAACGTAGCGCCAATCCTAAAGCTGCTATCTCTGGAAATCGTAATTCGTAATAATGGTAAAAAGTTAAATATCCCGTTTAATGGAGGTTTGGTTAGTTCACGATGCCATATTTACCTTTTTGCCGTGGTGGAGCTTGGTGAAGCCATGCATGAAGAGGATCTGCATTATATAGGGACATAGGAGATGGAGGATTGATCAAAGTTTTAGGGAAGAGGGAATGGCACGACGTTGAAAATCAACATGCATTGCAGAAACAGTGAAGATTGAAGAGAAATGGAGGAAGAACTGGATGTGTGTGTGCGCTGTGCGGTGCGAAAGAAAAGAGAGATCTGATGGTTGCTACTCTACTAGTGCATACAGTACCTGGTTGAGTTGGTCGACGGTGATGCGGGTGTTCCATGGGTCGAGGAAGAAACGGTGGTACGTCTCCAGCGTCAGGGGCCTCGCCAGCAGCATCTCCTTCGCCGGTCGCTGCCTTCCTCCCCGTCCTGCTCTCTTGCTCCTCCCATAGTCCCCTGTGGCCTCTCCTTCCGCTCGGTTCTCCTCCCCTTGCTTGGCTGTCTCGTGCCCGCGCAGTTACTGAATAGCTGCAGATTCCTTCGTGCAAGAAAAGGAACCGCAAAGAAGCGGAGGACGCAGCCTGAAGGCAAGCGTGGGCCTGTGGGCTAGCTCAGCCCCAAGCGGCCAAGCCCTGGCCAAGAAATGCTAGAGGGTATCCGGCCGTCGCTCGCGGTGTGTTCAAGATGAGTCGTGAGTATTCGGTCTGCTCCAGACTGGCAGACTCCAGTTAGCTTTTTCTTTTTTTTTGAAAATTGTTGGGTGGCATTGAAAGACCGTGACGTTAATAAAATACCATCAAAAGTTTATGGCCTCATAAAATACCACCGAAAGGTTAGACCATGAACTGAAAGTACTATTCTATTAAAATGAAGTGACGGAGCTGTTATTTGGGACAAAAATACCCCAGATTAATTAGCTTGCAAATCTTCTGACCTCAAGCGATGCATAGCATTTCACGTCACAAATCAAATAAGAAAGCAACAAAGAAGTCAGAACAAAATCGCTTCTCCGATGGTCATCCAGCTTAGGCCCCGTTCGCGTACCCTTAAACCCGGCTTGATCCGCTTATTTTTTTATTCGGAACAGTATTTTTCTCTCATAAATTCCTTTAGCATTCCTCCAAATCATCCAGATTGCTCAAGAATTTAGACAAGCGAACATGCCCTAGTCTTTTTGCGACAGGGAAGCCTACACGGGCGACGCCGGCGCCGAGCGTCCTTGCCGCTAGTGTCGTGCTGGGGCTTGGCCGCCCTGTCGGCATCAGCGAAGCTAGCAAACGGCGCGGCGCTGGCGCGCGAGGAAAGACGGCGCGCTGTGCCTGGCCATCACGACGAGCACCTTCGGCATGGCGTCCTCTCCCTGTCCAGCTACGCCAGCTCAGGATGGACATGACGCCCTGTCCAGGGGCGGCCTGCTTCTCCTCTTGCGGCGGGAGCAGAGGAGCACGGCCAGTGATACAGCGATGAGCGCCATCACCACCGCGAAGCCGCTGAAAACGTATGTCAACCAGAACGGCAGCGGCTCCGCACGCCCGTACGCCATGTCGCCATGGCCGCCGCCGGCTGCATCTGCTGCACCGACGACGACGCACCCATGCCGTCCTCCATGGCCATCGCGATTCTTGCAAGCCTCGTATCCTCTCGATCGCGCTTGTGTGCTTGCTTTTGTACTGATGATGAAATCACAACGTTGGCCGCGCGGAGGCACCGCGCAGACGCTCGGTGCGCAGGCCCGCGCGGTGGCCAGCGGAGGCGGAGGCAGGGCGAGCAAGCGGCACAACCGAGCGCCCCGCGTGCGTGCTTCCTGTCCCAGATGAGTCATATAAGGTGAGGGCAAATAGGTAATTTTATGTTTGGCTTTAGGCTAGGTTAACGTCTTTATATCCAAAGGTCGACGGAACGTTACCTTCAGTTCACGATCTGATCTTTCTGAACTTTCAGTGATATTTTATGAAAATCGTGATTTTTCAATGGTACATAGCTAATTTGTTTTTACAACCACTACAGTCACGCTTTAACCAACTCTCGTGCATTGTGCGTGAAGCCTGGCCGAGCAGCCGGCACCGGAGGCAGAGCAGGCTTTGTTGCGCTAGCTGTAACAGTGTGCGTCCTCTTCGCCTTTTCTTCTAAAAAATTCTAGAAATTCTTTAAAAAAAACGAGTGGAGCCTCTTATATTAAAAAGAAGATGAAAATCCTGTCTATATCACACTCGAGTGTTTTACACGTCTTTCTCTGTATATCACGTGAACATCATAAAAAACATTAGAGAACATCACATGTATATTATATGAACATTATGTGTACTATTTTTTTTTGTACTTGGCATATTTGGTTGCTTTACACGTCTCTGAAACGCGATTTTTACAGACCATCACTTGTAGAGCATGTGAACATCATAAAAATATCATAGAACATCACATGTATACTATATATAAATCTATCAGATATCATAGAACATCACTTATATACTATATAAACATTAAATGTGTATTGTGTGAACATCAAAAATTTGAGTGACAGCAGCCAGAATCACTGGAGTGGCATATAGCTTTTTTGGAAATATGCATAGGACATCCTCAATAATAATATGAGCTAGTTACTAATTATAAGACAACTTCTCCAATAACTTTTTAGCATATATCTTATCATATTAATAGTTTCACATGACAATCTCATATGACCATAAAGTGTGTATATAAGACTAACTTTTAATAAAATATAATATTTTCTCTCTTTTATTAAAATATAAAATAATATACTTAGAGCATCTTCAGCAAGAACCCTCAAATTAGGACCTCTACTTTTGATTTGAGGGCTCTTCTACTTTTGAGAGCTCCGGTTTTGTGGATGCACTTCAATAGTGGCTCTCAAAATAGGGGTCCTCAAATTCATTTTAATAGGGAATGACTCACAAGAACTGTTTGTCATTCTCTTTCTTATTTTTCCCTCATTGACTGAGTCATGTCTCTCTGTGCGCGTCTCACCAGGTTCCGGGCAAGGGCACCCTACTGAGGCAAGTGAGCCGCCGAGGAGTGCGGCCAGAGCCGGCTGACAGGGAGGGAGCCATCACCAAGGTGAGGGAGCCGCTACCGTGGGAAGGGAAGAAGGCCACCGTAGTGGGCAGCCAATATGGCGAGGGGCGCGCCACCAGGGAAGGAGCTGCTAGGAGGAGGGGCGTGCCAAAAGAGCTACGAGGAGGAGGGATGTGCCAGAGGATCCACATGTGCGCGGGAGAGGAACGACGATAATAAAAATTTGAGGGCCTCCAGCAGACCCTAGGACGATGAGTGAGATGGGGATTTGATGACCTTCTCAAATTTAAGGTCCCTAATAGGGTCCTGTTAGAGTTAATTTTTGGCTACGGACCTTATATTTGGTTTTAAGGGAAGTAAAGACCTTACTAGACACGCTCTTAGAACGAGCTCATGAATAACCATTAGACATGACCTTATATGGAGCACTATGTATTTTTTTCGAGAAGTTATTCCTTTCTAGTATTCTTACTATAAATTTTTTTTGCTAGTAGTCTAATAATAATTATTAAGCATTACAAATATTAGTATATTTTTATATATTTGATTAATTTTTTAAAATAACTTATCAAAAAGCGAAATATGCAGTTATTTTGGAAGAAACTAATAAAGTTGAGCTCATGCATTCATGATTCACTAGTGCGTCGTGCGTCGCAGCAGCCTCTATGAACAAAGAAATTTACCTGTCTCTTTGGCTCTTTTCGGCGTGCCTTTGTGGGCGCGTGGCGTTGCTAAGGGTTTTTTGCCTTTCTCCGCGGTTGATTTCATATGCAACAATATTCTGCGAGGAACGATTAGAGCTCATGCATTCATGATTCATGGACGAAAGCTGCTGCTTTTCTCTGTAGTGCGTTGTGCGTACAGCGGAACGGCAGGATTGAAAGCAACCACTCCAAAGTCCAAATTAACAACCAGATTACTGGAGATTGGCACAAAAAACTCACCGCAATTCCACAAAAAGCTTCTTGAAACATCATCAGCAGAACAAGCTTAATTATCTTCGATCCTTCACCCCGATTCCCCAAGAACATCATAATTTACTGATCACAACTCTTTTGTATCAAAACAACGAACAATATCTCATAAGAAACTGCAGCTAATCTGAGGACATCCTAACCCAACCTAACACTTAGAGCAGTATTGCTCGTTGTATGTAGCAGTGCCACCTCAACCTCGCCGCTGTCGTGCCTGTAGACCACCCGTGAGCAGAGAGAGCTTGTGGGGGCGCCGTCGCAAGGCCGGGGTAGCCGTCTCGAGGGACGGGAGCGTGAGCAACTCCAACACGCGCCTCCGCCTCGCGGCCTCCGCTTTGCCCGTCCGGGAAAGCTTCCTCCTGGCCGCGGCGGGCAGAGCGGGCGGAAGGGGCGAGGAGGCGCTGACCAGGATCGGCGGGGAGATGCGCTCCGCGGAGCCGGGGGCGATGGCGCAGATGGGCATGGGGATGGGGGCTTCGGCCGCGGCGGCGGCGGGCGACCGCATCCCGGCGCGGACGGAGAGGATGGAGCCGACGGGGCACTCGCGCCAGCCGAGGTCCTCGATGCCGCGCGTGACCTCCTCAGCCGAGAGCACGGCGGCCGCGGCCGTGGCGGCGCCCGGCGGCGGCGCGGTGGCGTTGAGGGGGACGGTGGAGCGGCGCGGGCGCATGAGCTCCACCGACCTGAGCGCGTCCACCATCGCCGGCTGCCGTCGGGGGGACGCAACAGGCGCCAGCGATCAGAAACCCACCCAATCAATTGATGAGGAAGGCGACGGGGTGGAACTGTGGAAGGGAGAGGTGTACCTTGGGCGCGCGGTGGAGCTTAGCGAACCCGTGCATGTAGATGATGTCGTTGAGGTGGTGGAGGTTGAGGCCCCCGCCGCTGCGGGTGGTGAAGAAGACGATGTAGTCCTCGAGCGTCAGCCGCGGCCGCTCGGCAGCCGGGAGCATCGGCATCGCTGATCACCAGCGCGTGCGCCCTCCTCCCTCCTAACTTGCGTGATGAACTGGTGCGGTGTGCCTCCGCGAGACCGCAACCGCGAGTGGATGGGTTCTGAATTGTGATCGGTGTGGGGTGCTCCGAAACCGAAAGTAACGAGAGCGGCAGCAGCCCTCGTGGGCGTCAGGTACTCCGTACTCAGGTGAATTCGCGTGGGCACGGCGGGAACTCAGAAAACCAGAGCACTGGCGAGCGAGGGCACGGGCACGGCAGCAAATGCGAATCGGAGGTGGCCACCAATTCCGGTGTGTGTGTGCCAGAAGATCCAAATACTCCCTCCATCATCGCTGAAAGAATGCCATTCTAAAATAATATCATGTTTAGTATATCAATTTTAATCAGTTATAAACAAAATATATATATATATATATATTTATAATATTAAATAAATATATTATTAAAATAATTATGAAATATATTTTTATAATAAATTGATTTGAAGCTATAAATATAAATATTGGTTACTATAAACTTAGTCAAACGTGAAGTACCTTAACTAACACGTAAATCATAGTTGTATTCTTTTTGACAAAGGTAGCACTTTCAAAAAAAAAATGCAGTGCTCATGTCATGTAAAAGATGAGAGAGATATCAGACACAAAACAACTCTGCCCCGGCGGACGGGACTTGCCACACTTCGCGGCGCGGCCGTGGTACTGGTGACGCCAGAGGTGGACGCGTACCAGACACCACCGCTCTGCTCTTACCAATGGCGAAGTTTCCGGCACTGCCGCCATCGCCGTCGTGCTAGCCCCGGTCAAGCACCATGCGAACAAGAGATTGTGAGTATGTTTGCTGGTCCTTTTTCAGAAATCCGTTGCTTCCACGTTGAAACTTTACAATTAGGAAATCAACAAGGTAGAAACATGGAGGCTCAAATTTCCTCATTTTCTCTAACAACAAGACAAGATGTTCCGGATAGATCCTCTGGTCCAGTTGATGCACTTGCTGGAAGAACAGACTCTAGTTCTGGTCATTATGGACAACACACAAAGCACAGAACTCTAATACTCTATTTGATATTTGGATTCACTTTTTGCATCCAAGATGGCGAGGAACTCAATCATACACATGTAAACTTGGTGATCATGTATGTACTGGTCATGCGATGCCTCATGTTTTGGCGGTAAATGAGATCATTTTTTCCCATGTTAGGACTTGGGCATGTTTTTCTTATGTTGGGACTTGGGAGAATACTTGGTGGCTTTGCACTAATGAATGGGGGCAGGAGGCAGCCAATATGATTTTTTTTTTGTTACATCATACATCAAAATTCTTTTTGGTGCCTTGAACATATTGTTGTAGCTCTAGTCAACCCAAATATTGTGAGTGTTTGAATTGATTGAAATTATTGGTTGCGTTGTCTTCAGTGATGGTCATGGCCAGATCCATTTGTTGATATGAAATGACATATTCCACATGGTGATAACTTAAGGGTTTATGTGCAATCCTATTTTGATAATTGAAGGGCTCATTGTGCAACATTCAACATTTCTTTGTTAGATTGATCTCCCAGCCAATAAGCCCAACGGCCTATTGGGCCTTGGTCACGCGCCCTGATCGGGGGCGCCCAACCCTATATGGTTGGTGGGTCCCCGTCGCACTGCGCTATATAAAGTGGTGGGGGCCGGCGGCTCGAGGTACGAGGTTCACCGTGAGCCAATATCCCCCACCAACAAACCCTAAGTCCGATCTAGCAGGTGCGTACTGTGACTGACGGCAAGACGCGCCATCATGTCATCACCGCCGGGCTTCATCAAGACATCACCCCCTCACGGACTTCACCGACTCTTCCCCGACTGTCAGCTGCCGGCGCATGCACCTACACCAAATAACCTGATGGAGGCCATTGGATCTTCCACCCTGCGGTCTCGTGTTTGGTACCCTTTCCCTTCTCTCTATGTCTCTCTCTAGATCGTTCTAGATGTATTAGGATCTACCGCTTTACATGTTATACCGAATAGGACAACAAAGGCTAGATCTATGATCCAACAGTTTTAACATTGGTATCAGAGCCACGGTTTAGGTATAGTTCTGGCTTAAGGAAAAGAAATCCAGTGCGGTTTTAGAAAGTAGAAAGGGGACGGTCATTAGGGGCTTCGGCCGACATAGGGTTCGGTTGAACCCTAACCTCGATCCCTTCGGATCTGAGAAAAGATGAAGGTTCGGATGAAGAAAACCTAACCCTAACTCTAGAGAGTTCGGGAAAAAGGAAAGAAAGAGAACCGATTTCAAATCGGGGAAAAAGAAAACAGTGGCCATCCCAAACCCTAACCCTAACCCTAATCGGCAAATCGGATGAACCAACAACAAACGAATCAAAAGAAAGGGAAGAAAGGAAAGGGGTGGCCTACCTCGCTGCTGCTAAGCATCTGCAGCACACGCCGCTGCCATGAAAAAAGAAAGGCCGGCCGGGGGCACGGCTCACGGATCCGGCCATTGGGGGCACCATGCCAGCCACTTTGGGGCGCCGCGCCTCACCCGCCGGGGAGCGCAGCGCCGGGAGGGGGCGATACGACGGCGCCGGGCTACGCTTGTTCTTGCTCCATGTTGTCGCCGCTTTCGGTGGATCGATCGAGGAGAGAAGGGAGAGCAATGAGGCGAAGAGAGAGAGTGCGAATGCAAATGGACGCTAGGGTTGGCTGGCCGTGGCGGGGAGCGGGTTTTGTTCACCCGAAGACGCCACGTAGCCGTCCGATCGGCTCCAACAGCGCCAAATGCTCGGGCCGGCGATGCGTGCCTCAAAGCGCGCGCGGTCGACTAACTTTTGCTGCCCAGCCCAAGTTATGGCTTTGGTGCGCGCGCGTCAGGTCCATGAAGGAAGTGGGCCGAGCCGTTTTGCGGTTTTGGGCGGGTTATATACTGCTATGGGTCGAAATTGCGAACACAAAAAATTGAATTCATCTTATTTTTCCGTAAACCGATTTGATTCATATTTGATAAATTCGAATTGAATTTTGATGTTGAAATCTGTACAATTTTGATCTAACATCAATTTTGTTCAGAGAATAGTAAAGTGTTGTAACAGTTTCTGGAAAATAGAATTAAAAGATTTATTAAAGTTTCCGCTGCGTACTTAAAAAAAATTGTTGCTTTCATTATTAAATTCGAACCAATTGGAGAATTTAATTTTTGAAAGATAGATAATTTTACAGTTATTATAATGTTGTTATTATTCTGACCAACGTTGATTAATAGCAATATTATAATATTGATGTTATTATGGTTTTTGTTATGCATTATTTCTATTTCTGGCCAACGGTGATATAGATTTAATGTATAAAATAATTGTATGTTTTAATTTTGACCAACGTTAAACTAAGGCATGCAATTGTTGTTGTTATTATTTGTGTTCTCACACTATTTGAATTGTGTTTTCAGGAGGATACAACTTGATGAGTTGTATCAAAGAGATCCCCACTATAAAAGGTGATAACTATATTGAGTGGAAGAAAAAGATAGACCTGGCTTTCATCCTCGCTGAGGTGGACTGGGTTGTCACCACACCGTGTCCCAGAGAACCTGTGGCACCGGTGAGAGAGACAGATGAGACTGATGCTGCATGGCAGAACAGAGAGCGAGACTTTGCTCCCATAAAGATATCTTTTGACCTTGAAAATAGAAAGTGGGTCACAGCCAATAAGAAATATATGGCTGTGATAAAGAATACAATTGAGCCTGCAATAGTGGGCTCAATTCCAGACTATGACACGATCACAGAGTACCTAGAAAGAATATAGAGTCAGTTCACTGGCTCTTCAAAGACATATGCAACCCAGCTGATCAAGCAGCTGGTTACAGAAAGGTACTCTGGTGGCGGTAGTGGCATTAGAGAGCACATACTGAGAATGAGCAATCTGGCATCTAAGCTCAAACCAATGGATTTGGCACTCAAGGATGAGTTTCTTATTCATTTGATTTTTGCTTCTTTGCCCAAAGAATTTGACACCTTTGTTGTTAATTACAACATATAGCCTGAAAAATGGGATTTAGAAAAGCTCATAGCCATGTGTGTGCAGGAGGAGGAAAGAATAAAAGTTTCACAGAGTGGTACTGTCAACTACCTAAAAGATAAGAAAAAGAACTATAATAACAGCTCTTCCTTCAAGTCATCTGGAAAGGGTCCCATGCAACAATCTCAGAACAAGCAATTCCTAGTGGATAGAGACCAGTGTCTCTACTGTAAGAAGACGGGACATTATAAGAAGAATTGTCCCGAATTCCTAAAGATGATTATGAAAAATAAAGGTGAGAACATTATTACGTTCGTAAATGAATCCTTGTATGTCAAGTTTTCAAAATCTACTTGGTGGATTGATTTAGGTGCAACTATTCATGTTGCTAATTCATTACAGGGATTCCGTTCGATGAGAACTTTGCAAAGAAGCGAAAGTTTCATTAAAGTCGCAAATGGAGTACAAGCAGATGTTGAGGCCGTTGGCGATCTTCCGCTAGTGCTTGCTGATGGCTTCATACTTTTTCTTAGAGATGTTCTTTATGTACCTTCTTTGCAAAGAAACTTGATTAGTGTATCAAAGTTGGACCATGATGGTTATGATTGCCATTTTAGAAATGGCAAATGTCAGATATTGTTTAATAATAGATGTATTGGTCTTGCCTTCCGACAAGATGAGCTTTATTTGTTATCACTTCGTGAAAATGTGAATTCCGTATGTGATGTGAATGAGAATGTATCCTCATCGAACAATGCAAACAGAAAACGAAAGAGAGCTCACGATGCGTTGTCGAAATTATGGCACTGTCGTTTAGGCCATATTTCGAGGGGGAGAATAGAAAGACTAGTTAAGAATGATATTCTTCCTCCATTAGAGCTCTTAGATTTAGAACAATGTAGAGATTGCATAAAAGGAAAGTATGTAAAGAAAATTAAGAAAGATGTCAAACGGGCGCTGAAATTTTACTGATTATTCACACAGATATCTCATGGTACTTTTCC